AAGAAGCAGAAGGCCGAGAAAAGGAAAAAAAGGAAAAGCGGCGAATTTCCGAAATATAACAACCCAAGGGTCCGCTCCGCTATTCTGAGTAAAGGTCGACGACTTAAAGGGAACGTGATAATAAAGAGGGAAGAAGGGAGAGAAAACATCACGCAGCGAAAAATGCATGGAAGAGAGAAATAAAAGAAAAAGAGAAACGAGAAAGAAAGGGGAGAAGGGGAGAGAACGGGTGATATGGAGAGAGAGAGAGAGAGAGAGAGAGAGAGAGAGAGAGAGAGAGAGAGAGAGAGAGAGAGAAGAGAAGAGAAGAGAAGAGAAGAGAAGAGAGGAGAAGAGAAGAGAGGAGAAGAGAAGAGAAGAAAAGAGAAGAGAGGAGGAGAGAGGCAGGAGAGGGTCAGAGAACAAGGGAAAGAAAGTCAGAAACAAGAAGACAGATACAGAGACAGAGACAAAGGGAGAGAGAGGGAGAGAGAGAGACAGACAGAAAAAGGGGAGCAAGCGCGCGTATCCCCTTTCTCCCCCTCTGAAGCTCCCCCGCATCGTATGCCACCAAAATACACATTCACTGTACCACCCCTTCCCCCCCTCCCCCGTCGCCCGAACACATGTGGCATAAACATCACGCTTTGCCCAGCACTAACCCCGCCTTCCCCCAACTCCACCCCCACCCCCACCCTTTACCCCACGCTCAGGCAACGCCACCCCCGCATACCCCACCCTAGGCAACCCCACACTCTCATACCCCACCTTACGCAACCCTACACCCTCACCCTCACCCCCCACCCTAGGCAACCCCGCATACCCCACCCTAAGCAACCCCGCATACCCCACCCTAGGCAACCCCATACCCTTATACCCCTCACCCTAGGCAACCCCCTCCCCTTCTCCCCTCCCAGACAACTCCCTCCCCTTCTCCACCCCCAGACAACCCCACACCCTCACCCCCACCCTAGGCAACCCCACACCCTCATACCCCCACCCTAGGCACCCCCACTCCCCTTCGCCCCCCCACCCAGATAACCCCATACCCTCATACCCGAAGCCTTCACAAGGATAGGGGCGAGGGGAGGGCATGGCAGAGGGGAGGGCATGGCAGAGAGTAGGGCAAATGGGGCCTCAAAAACTCCATTGTCATTTAGAACATTTATATGAACTGACTTGTGTGAGTGAAGAAGACGTGGGTATCCTTGTCCCAGGGGAATGAGGGTGAGGGAGGAGGGAGGAGGGGAGGAGGGTGAGTTAGTGGGGAGGGAGGAGGGGAGGAGGGTGAGGGGAGTGAGGGAGAAGGGAACCGAGGGTGAGGGGAGACGGGGAGGGAGGAGGGGAGGAGGGTGAGGGGAATGAGGGAGAAGGGAACCGAGGGTGAGGGGAGACGGGGAGAGGGGTGAGGGGAACCGAGGGTGAGGAATGAGGGGACTAGCGGGTGAGGGGAGAAGTGGCTAGGGGTGAGGGGGGTAAGCGGTTAGGGGTGAGGGGAGAAGGGGGTAGGGGTGAGGGGAGAAAGGGGTATGGGTGAGGGGAGAAAGGGGCAGGGGTGAGGGGAGAAGTGGGTAAGGGTGAAGGGAGATGAGGAGGGGGAACAATTACATACTTGTGGTTTATTAAGGTTCATGAACACAATAACTCATTACTCACTACCATCTCTGTGTGTGTGCCTCTTTCTTGATACAACAGCTGCTTTGTCTCTCACTCTCTCCCTCTACTTCAGTGGTCTCTCGGTTCTCTCTCTCTCTCTCTCTCTCTTTCACCCTCACCCTCATCCTCACCCTCTCCCCTAGACCTTCCCTTCCTCGCCTTTCTCCTATCCATTCCCTTCCCTCATCTCCCCCTTTATCTCTCTATCCGTCTGTATTTCTGTCTCGCTCTCTCTCCCTCTGCCCCTCTCGAGACCAGCGCCGCGACGGGCATCCCACCCTCATGCCCAGGACGTGCGGGCGGGCAGAGAACCGATGCCAACGCTCTCTGGTTAATCAGATCGGTGAATCAGTGAGGGAAGGGGGGAGGGGGGGGTAAGGGCAACGGCGTGAAAGGGGGGGAAGGGGGGGAGGGAAGGGGGCGGCGGGAAAGGGAGGGAAGGTGGGAAGAGGGAAGGGGGGAGGAGGGAAGGGGGGCGGCGTGAAAGTGAGGGAAGGGGGGCGGTGGGAAAGGGAGGGGGAGGTATGGGTGGGGGAGGAGTCCGGGAAGGAGAGGGGTGGGGAGGGGAGGGGGCTAGCATCGATGAGCAGAAGATAAGGGCGAAATAGAGAGAAGCTCTATCGACTTCTCTCATCTCGAATAATACGGACTTTCTACTCTCTCTCTCTCTCTCTCTCTCTCTCTCTCTCTCTCTCTCTCTCTCTCTCTCTCTCTCTCTCTCTCTCTCTCTCTCTCTCTCTCTCCCTCCCTCCCTCTATTTGTATCTAAATCCAAAATTACAACTATCTAGACAGCAATCTGTTTTTCACTCCCGCATTTTATTTTAAATATCAAATTAAATTTATTGTTCAATTCTTCTCCCTTCTCGTCAAAAAACTCTTTCCATAATCCTTTCCATTTTACCTTCTCGAAAACCCTTCATTCTCTCTCTCCTTCTTTCATCTCCCTCTCTCCTCATCCTCTTTCACCTCCCTTTCCTCTTATGCTCTCTCTTCTTAATTCTCTTTCTGTTCCTACCCTAAACCCGTGCCCCCTCTCTTTCTTTCTTTCTTTCTTTCTTTCATTCTCTCTTTCTTCCTTTCCTTTTCTTCTCTCTCTCTCTCTCTTTCCCTCCTTCCTTCTCTCTCCCTCCTTCTTTCCCTCTCCCTCCTCCCTCCCTCTCCCTCCCTCCCCTTTCCCTCCTTTCCTCTCCCTCCCTCCTTCCCTCCTTTCCTCTCCTTCCCCCTTCCTTCCTTTCCTCTCCCTCTCCCTCCCTCCTTTCCTCTCCCTCCCTCCCTCTCCCTCCCTCCCCCTTTCCTCCCTCTCCCTCCCTCCCCCTTCCCTCCTTCCCTCTCCCTCCCTCCCCCTTCCCTCCTTTCCTCTCCCTCCCTCTGCTCAACCTCCTCCTCCTCCTCCTCCTCCTCCTCCTCCTCCTCCTCCTCCTCCTCCTCCTCCTCCTCCTCCTCCCGCCGTACAATACCGCGCCCTCGTGTCGTCGAGGAGCAGAGGCCCAATGGACGTGTTCCCCGTCGTCGCTGGAACACGTGCCGGGGCGGCCGAGGCACGCTATTCCCGGCCTTCGTGTCGCTCGTCAACTCAAAAGGCTTCGGGGGTAGAGGGGGGGGTAGAAGAGGGGTAGGGACTTGTGGACTTGCGGGGCTCTTCGTGGAATGCTAATAGCCAATTAACGAGACAGTGTTGGTGGAAGATTTTTTTGGTGTGTATGTGTGGTGGATATAGGATATAAATAAATAAGTAAAATAATATGTTTGTTTTCTCAAATCAATCGAAATTCTCGCTGCAAGGCCGTTGACGTATGTCCTTGAATACCCAGGGCCTTTTGCATTTTTTTGCGATGCCTATAAAATCCGTTTTCCATTCTTACCTTCTTTGTCGAGGTAGATCCTCGTCAGGTAGTTTGCGTCCTTACACCTAATAAGCACCATCTTGGAAGTAACCGAGTCCACGCCGGAGTCCCAGTCGGTCTCCGTGTCCACCACCTTCCGGGAGTCCATGCTTGTGGCCGGACTCGTGGCCAGCGAGCCCAGGGAGCCGCTGGACCGGCTGCCGCAGCGGGGACTCGGCCCGCGACTCGGCCCGCGGCTGCCGCCCACCGTCCGCGGCGACGACCCGCGGTTCACGCACTTCGGGCTCGCCCCCCGGTGGATCGGACTCGCCCCCCGCTGCACCGGACTCACCCCCCGGTGGATCGGACTCGAGATACGGTAGTTCCTGTTCTCCGGCACCCCGCTGAGGCTCCGGCGGGGGTTGCTGACGGAGGACTCGTTGCTGCGCGGACTGGCCGCCCGCTCCCTGGCCAGGGGGCTCGGGCCGCGGTCGGACTCCACGGGTAACGAGATCAGGTTTCCGTTCATGGCGGGCCAGGACTCCCTCCGGCCGTAGCTGCTGCTCCGGGGCACCCGCCGGACCTCACGCTTGGGCACGGGCTCCTCCTCCGCCTCTTCCTCCTCCTCCTCCTCTTGCCTCTGGTCGTCCATGTGTTCGTCCTGCCGCTCCTCCTCGTCGGGAATGAAGACCTGGTCGTTCTCCTCCTCGCTCTTGTCGCACTCGATGTTCCATCCTCCGCCTCCGCCGCCGCCGCCGCCCCACTCCTCCTGCTCTGGCGACGACCAGTTCCTGTTCTGGCGGTTCCACTTGGTGGAGTGCGTGTTCAGCTTGTCGCGCACCTCCAGGTTGTCGTTCTCCGGCGAGCTCCACTTGTCGCCCTCCTCGAAGCGCCGCCATGGCTGCCAGTTCTTGGTGGGCTTGTCCTTGACCTCGATGCGGCACAGCCCGTACTTGAAGTAGTTGTAGTTCTTGTTGCGCAGGTTGATGCGCTTGGGGCTCTGCTGCGAGTACTCCTTCACCACAGCCTTGAAGTCCGACGGCGCCTTCGGCTCGGGCTCCGCCGCCTTCCGCACGGGCGTCGACGTCACGTGGCCGCGCCCCTTCTTCGGCGGCGCCTTCTTCGGGCTGGCCGGACCCAGCTGGGCAGGCTGGCTCTCGGGCGGCGACTCGGGCGAACTGGCCTTGTCGCGCCCCTTCTCCCCCACCTGCACGGGGATCTTGCTGGCCGTCCTGGCACCGCGATCCACGCAGTCCTGCTGCTGCTGCTGCTGCTGTTTCTGCTGTGGCTGTGGCCTCTGCTGCTGCAACTGCTTCTGCTGCGGCTGTTCTTGATACTTTTGATTAGTTTGCTGAGGATGATTATTGTGCTGTTGGTGCTGCCGCAGTTTCTGCTTCTGCTGCTGTTCGAGGAACTGTTGCTGTTGTAAACGATACTGTTGCTGTTCGTGCTGTTGTTGCCGCTGTTCCTGTTGGTGCTGTCGATGCTGCTGTTCAAGCTGTTTCTGCTGCTGCTGTTGCCGATGTTGCTGCAGATGCAGCTGCACCTGCTCCTGCTGCCTCTGCTCATGGCGCCTCAACTCCTCTTCCAGCTGGTCTACGTCCGCGTCGTCGGCGTCGCCCACCGAGTGCCTGGGGCTCCCTTGGCCTTGGTCGAAGCTGTACAGCCTCTGCATGTGCCTTGGGCTCACGCTGCCGCCGCCGCCGCTGCTGTGGTGGCGGGGGCTGCCCAGGTAGCCGCTCCGCGTGCTGTGCCGCGGACTGCCGAAGTTGCCGTTGCCTTGGAGGTGCTGCTGTTGCTGTTGCTGCTGCTGTTGCTGCTGTTGTTGCTGTTGTTGCTGGTGCTGTTGCTGTTGTTGCTGGTGATGGTGATGTCGGTGGCGCGGACTGTCGCTGCTGTTGCCGTTGCCGTCCTGGCGGCCGCCACCGAAGCCGTTCCTGTTGGTGTGCCTCGGGCTGCCGTTGTTGTTGAATCCCGGGGGCGGCGACATGTGGCTGGGGGCGTCGCGGCCATCGCTGCTGCTGTCGCTGCGCGTGTGGCGGGGGCTGGCGCTGGCGTAGCTCACGTGCCGAGGACTGTCACTGCCGTAGTTGGCGTGACGGGGGCTGACGCTGCCGTAGTTGACATGGCGGGGACTCCCGTTGCCGTAGTTTACGTGTCTGGGGCTGCCGTTGCCATAGTTAACGTGCCTGGGGCTGCCGTTGCCATTTCTGCCGCCCACGTGGCGAGGACTGCCGTTGCCATTGCGGGCGTTGTTGTTATTGTTGTTGTTGTTCTGGCTGAGTCCCTCCCGGCTCACGATAATGTCGGGGACTTGCCTGTTATCAAGGATCATGGCGTCCTCGCGGAGACTTCACCAACTACACATGTAAACAAAAACTAAAACAGAAAATCACGAAAAACAAAAAAACACACACAAATGCACAAAGAACTTCCTTCCTCCGTTCCTTCTTCGATCCTTTTCCCCCTCTTTCTCTGGGTGTCGTTATTCCTCCTTTCCTCGCTTCCTTTCTCCTTCCCTGCGCCTTCGATATCTCTCAGCCTTCAGACCAGCAGGACGGGACTGAATGCGTAGGCTACAGGAAGGGTCTAACAGCAGGCGATCCCTCCTCTTGCGAAATCCCTCTCGTTTCCTCAGCACCGAAAACACCAGAATAAAAAACAACCAGGCTTTCTATACACTTTCTAGGTGTCTTTGCGGTTATATAGATATCGATATATACCTATTTATAATTTACTTCTATATATACATATACATATCACATCTCCTTTTCTTCGGTCGCACCGTGTTCAGGAGAAAAGCACTACGTTGGGCGTCTCCTTCGCTAACGTTCTAAGTCCCAGAGGTTCTGACGTTGAGGAAGACAGCTAGGATCTACGATACCGTGTATATATATGAATATATATATTTATTTATATATGCTCTATAAGGCAATATAGCAGCTATATGAGGTCCTTTATATAGATCCGTACGAGTAACTTTTACATACTTGAGTTTAGCACTAACTTACGTCCTAGAGAAGGGGTAATATAAAGGAATGATGCGGATATAATATGCATATATAAGTAGTATGTTATCTGGAGTATATTATAGGCGCTTCCTAGCAAGACACGTTATGTCACAATAGGAAAAAAAATGGTTTTGTTTCACAGTCACGTCAGGCGCTGTTAGACGTCAGCACTACGTCACTATTACTGTTAACGTTGAAAGAGGATTTGTAAAGCACTTACGACGATATGCAAATTAAGATGCGGCACACTTATTGTTGAAAAAAAGACAGTATGACAACGTTTTTTTGTTACAATATCACTTTCTGCAGTACACTACTATACACTGAATCCTTTGGGGTTTTCGGTCTCACTTATTCTCTCTTCTCACTTCTCAGTAATTTCGCTTTCCTTGTTAATTTTTGGCACTTCTTTCCTTCGTTTTGTTCTTAGTGGCGCTTTTTTTATTTTCCCCCTCCTATTCCTTATCCGTCTCCGGCCTTGTGTGCAGATTCACGCGAGCGAAACGTGGACGTTGCATTCAACGGCACATGCAAGAGGGGGGGTTCATCTCAAGCGGAGACTTCTAGACGAACGCCCCTTCTGAATCGGCCTGCATGCGGATCTGCCTCCCGGATCGCGTCCTGGACGAACGGCTCTCCTCGTTCTCGTGGGCTGAATCCGTGCTGCAAAAACGCGTCCAGATGCATCCGTCCCGTTCGTTCGCTCGGCGGTCTTCGCGTATGGCCGATCCTTCAGATGGGGGACGTCGGTCTCTTTTGCCTTTTAATCCGGACCTTTTTTCTCTTCTCTCGTAATCCGATTACCGATTACCACTTCGATGAGGAAATAATAAAAAAAAAATTATCTCCCGTTTCCTATCACACAATTTATCAACGAATATATTTTCCGTACACTACACTTCAGTTTACTGTATCTTTAAAATTAATGCCGTATTAAATCGTCCGTCTGGTGGGCTTTCCTGGCGTGACACACACCCTTTCCCGACGGCGTTCGGCGCACAACTGGCGATGGCGGTACGAGCGAGCCGCGCGCTGGCGTCCGGGGTGCCGGAGGTACGGTAACCCTCCTGCTCCTCCGCCGCCGCCTCCGCCTCCGTCATGGCACGTCGTGTTTCGTTCGGGGAAAGGCGCTGGATCTCGTTCCAGGGCGAGCCTTAGATCTCCATGACGTGCAAAGGACACGAGAATCGGACTCCGCCTCGTTCTCGAAGAATCTCCCGTCGAGCGGGGGTGGGGGAGGCAAGGGAAAAGGAGGGAGGGAAAGGAGGGGGGTGGGGGTCGTCGTGATCATGTGACGAGGCCGTCTCCCCAAAACGCGTCCCAAACGAAAACATTCCCGGGTCCTGCGAGTGGGCTTCGGCCTCCCTTCCCCCCATCCAAAATAGAGCACCAGAGGACGCGCCCCGGCCACGGAGGCCTTCGCTCATCCATTCGGGCCGATCTTCCCTTTCCCTTTAACGCCAAATGCATAAATAAGTTGCTACAGTTCCATAGGCATTGTGGGGAGAGGGTTGTGGCGTCTGGCACCGAGAGAGGGGAGTGCCTGGGAGTGCCACTGCGCCTGCGTGCCATCAGGAGTGGACGGGCTACACCATCAACGTCACCATCCGTTGGGGAAAACGAGGACTATATCTACAGCAAAAGACTATTGCATATAATGGAATATACATTTAGCTTTTAATCACGAATTAAATAGCTTAGCATATATCCCCCACGCTCCAAGGGAAAACGGAGGAGAAATTGCATAACCGGCAACTCTACCACACTCCTCCTACCTCCCCTCCCCTCCCTGTCCCTCTCCTTCAACCCCTTCCCCTCCCTCCCACCCCCTCCTACACCAGTGCCATCAATACAAGATTCCAGTATGAAAAAAAAAGAGAAAAAGAAAAACGAACTAAACTGACAAACTGACACAAACACAAACCAAAACGCACCCGACGCGCCACAATCAAGACACAAAGCGAAGAAGAGACTAACACATAAAATTAAAAACAAAACAAAACAAAAAAAGCAACATCAAAACAATACGAAAGAGGGAAAAAAAAGACACAAAAAAATAAAAAAATAAAAATAAATAAAATAATACACCGTGGGGGAAACTAGACTTGAACAATCAGTGCAATGCGCCAGCCCACAGCCCGAGGAACTACGTCAGTCAATCAGGGAATCTCTCTCTACATTCGTGAGTAGCGTCTTGTTTGGCTTTGACTAAGGGGGGGGGGGGAGAGAGAGAGAGAGAGAGAGAGAGAGAGAGAGAGAGAGAGAGAGAGAGAGAGAGAGGAGAGAGAGAGAGAGAGAGAGAGAGAGAGAGAGAGAGAGAGAGGGAGGGGGAGAGGAAGGGGGAAGGGGGGAGGAGAGAGAGGGAGGGGGAAGGGGGAGGGAAGAGAGGGAGGGGGAAGGGGGAGGGAAGAGAGGGAGGGGGAAGAGGGAGTGAAGAGAGGGAGGGGGAAGGGGGAAGGGGGGGAGAGATGGAGGGGGAAGGGGGAGTGAAGAGAGATCTTATTTGTCATTCTTCCATGTCGCGTTCCAACTTTTCTTCTTTTTCTGTTTCTTATTTGTCATTCTTCCATGTCGCGTTCCAACTTTTCTTCTTTTTCTGTTTCTTATTTGTCATTCTTCCATGTCGCGTTCCAACTTTTCTTCTTTTTCTGTTTCTTATTTGTCATTCTTCCATGTCGCGTTCCAACTTTTCTTCTTTTTCTGTTTCTTATTTGTCATTCTTCCATGTCGCGTTCCAACTTTTCTTCTTTTTCTGTTTCTTATTTGTCATTCTTCCATGTCGCGTTCCAACTTTTCTTCTTTTTCTGTTTCTTATTTGTCATTCTTCCATGTCGCGTTCCAACTTTTCTTCTTTTTCTGTTTCTTATTTGTCATTCTTCCATGTCGCGTTCCAACTTTTCTTCTTTTTCTGTTTCTTATTTGTCATTCTTCCATGTCGCGTTCCAACTTTTCTTCTTTTTCTGTTTCTTATTTGTCATTCTTCCATGTCGCGTTCCAACTTTTCTTCTTTTTCTGTTTCTTATTTGTCATTCTTCCATGTCGCGTTCCAACTTTTCTTCTTTTTCTGTTTCTTATTTGTCATTCTTCCATGTCGCGTTCCAACTTTTCTTCTTTTTCTGTTTCTTATTTGTCATTCTTCCATGTCGCGTTCCAACTTTTCTTCTTTTTCTGTTTCTTATTTGTCATTCTTCCATGTCGCGTTCCAACTTTTCTTCTTTTTCTGTTTCTTATTTGTCATTCTTCCATGTCGCGTTCCAACTTTTCTTCTTTTTCTGTTTCTTATTTGTCATTCTTCCATGTCGCGTTCCAACTTTTCTTCTTTTTCTGTTTCTTATTTGTCATTCTTCCATGTCGCGTTCCAACTTTTCTTCTTTTTCTGTTTCTTATTTGTCATTCTTCCATGTCGCGTTCCAACTTTTCTTCTTTTTCTGTTTCTTATTTGTCATTCTTCCATGTCGCGTTCCAACTTTTCTTCTTTTTCTGTTTCTTCTTTCCTTTTCTTTTCTTATCTTTTCATTGTTTTTTTCTTCTGCTTCTTCTTTCCTTTTCTTGTCTTTTCTTATCTTTTCATTGTTTTTTTCTTCTGCTTCTTCTTTCCTTTTCTTGTCTTTTCTTATCTTTTCATTGTTTTTTTCTTCTGCTTCTTCTTTCCTTTTCTTTTCTTTTCTTATCTTTTCTTTTTCTCCCTTACTCTTTTTCTGTTTCTTATTTGTCATTCTTCCATGTCGCGTTCCAACTTTTCTTCTTTTTCTGTTTCTTCTTTGTTATTCTTCCACGTTTCTTTCCTACTTTTCTTCTTTTTCTTTCCCTTCTCCTCTTTTTTGTGCCAATTGAAGAGGCTGTTTTCTTTTGTCATTCTACAAATGGCTTTCAATTCCTTATCATATTAAGTCTAAATCTTGCAATCAAAGTGTCATCTTCAGCAACAATTCGAGTATGTTATTTTTCATCGTAATTTCACGTAATCTTTACTATCCTTTTCGTTCTTTATTCGTATCAATTCCTATCGTTTATCTCTTCTCGTTTCTTGCTGTCTCTGCGAGCGTGCGTGCTTCTGTCTGTCTGTCTGTCTGTCTGTCTGTCTGTCTGTCTGTCTGTCTGTCTGTCTGTCTTTCTGTCTGCCTGCCTGTCTGTCTCCCCCTTTTTTACTTCCTTCTCTATTATTCCTCTTTTCTCCTCCTCCTCTTCTTACTCTTTCACCTCCCCCTCTACTTCTTTCTTCACGAGTTCGACCACAATCTCCACCACTACCTCCTCTTTCATTCCTGAGGCCAGTTCCTCTTCTTCCACATCCACTTTAACATCCACATTCACTCTCAGATCCACATCCACTTTAACATCCACCTCTACCCCGATCCCGTCCGCTCCGCAACCTCTAAAAACCACCTCCGTTTCCACCTCGTTCACCCCCTCTTTCCACTTCCAATTCGCCTCACAATCGCTAATTCCACTTCCTTTACGCCCTCTTCCATCTCCATGCCCACTCCTGCCTCCACCTACCCCGCCTCGCAATATCTAGAAACTCCACCCTCAGTTCCCTCTCTTCCACTTCCTCTCCACCTCCACTTAAACCGCCTCACAGCTTCTACAACCTCCACCCTTTCTTCCACCTCCCACTCCCTCCTCCACCTTCACGCCCTCTTCTACACCCACTTCCACTTCTACTACACGAACATCTCTCTCAAGTACCCACTCCAAGTTGAAAGAAGGCGTGTTGGAGGTGGCGAGGACCGGACTAACAATGACTGCGGTAGGGAACCATAGAAGGAGGGAGGGAGGGGAGGACAGAGGGAGGACGGAGGGAGGGAGAAGAGACGATAGGGAACCAGAGAAGGAGGGAGGGAAGGAGGGAGGGAGGGAGGGAGGGAGGGAGGACGGAGGGAAGGAGGGAGGGAGAGAGGAAGGAGGAAGTGAAAGGAAGAGAGGGGGGAGGAGAAGGAGAAAGAGCCATAGAAGGAGGGAGGGAGGGAGGGAGGGGAGGACAGAGGGAGGACGGAGGGAGGGAGAAGAGACGATAGGGAACCAGAGAAGGAGGGAGGGAGGGAGGGAGAGAGGGAGGGAGGGAGGGAGGACGGAGGAAAGGAGGGAGGGAGAGAGGAAGGAGGAAGTGAAAGGAAGAGAGGGGGGAGGAGAAGGAGAAAGAGAGAGAGAGGAAGGGAGGGGGAAGCCTGTCTGTCTGTCTGCCTGTCTGTCTGTCTGTCTGTCTGTCTATCTGTCTATCTGTCTCTCTGTCTGTCTGTCTGCCTACTTGCCTACCTGCCCGCCTGCCTGTCTGCCTGCCTGCTTGTCTGCCTACTTTCCTGACAGATAGACCGGACTAACAATGACTGCGGTAGGGAACCATAGAAGGAGGGAGGGAGGGAGGGAGGGAGGGAAGGGAGAACAGAGGGAGGACGGAGAGAGGGAGAAGAGACGATAGGGAACCAGAGAAGGAGGGAGAGAGGGAGGGAAGGAGGGAGGGAGGACGGAGGGAAGGAGGGAGGGAGGGAGGACGGAGGAAAGGAGGGAGGGAGAGAGGAAGGAGGAAGTGAAAGGAAGAGAGGGGGGAGGAGAAGGAGAAAGAGAGAGAGAGGAAGGGAGGGGGAAGGGGAGAGGGACGGAGGGAGGGAGAGGGAGAGAGAGACAGAGAGAGAGAGAGACAGAGAGAGAGAGAGAGAGAGAGAGAGAGAGAGAGAGAGAGAGAGAGAGAGAGAGAGAGAGAGAGAGAGAGAGAGAGAGAGAGAGAGAGAGAGAAATCATAAACATAGAACCTGAACACTAACAAACACTCTTTTCTTGTTCCCTCTACCTTTTTTCACTTGTTCTTTTTTCCGAATATTCCAGAACGCGCCTCTTAAAGCGACCCTCCGCAAATGAAGTGGGTGTGAGGGAAAGAGGGAGAGGAGAGAGAGGGAGAAGTGAGGCAGAGAAGAGAGAGAAAGGAGAGAGGGAGAAAGGAGGGAAAGACGAGAGGGAGAAAGGAGGGAAAGGAGAGAGGGGGGAAAGGAGAGAAGGAAGGGAAAGGGAGAAGAATAAGGGAAAATCGGTAA